CAGGAAAGGCACAGGGGCACCTGTGCAGGCGAGCCTTAGTGCTTCGCAGCGGGCCGGTAACCGGCCAGGGGACCAGTGTGTGCCAGGCAGCTGCCATGGGTGGTGCCATGGTTCTGCTGTATGCCAGCCGGGCCTGCTACAACCTGGCAGCCCTGGCCTTAGCCCCCCAGAGCCGGCTGGATGCCTTTGATTATGACTGGTACAACGTATCTGATCAGGCGGACCTGGTCAATGACTTGGGGAACAAAGGCTACCTGGTGTTTGGCCTCATTCTCTTTGTGTGGGAGCTGCTGCCCACCACTCTGCTGGTGGGCTTCTTCCGAGTTCACCGTCCACCGCAGGACCTGAGCACCAGCCACATCCTCAATGGGCAGGTCTTTGGCTCCCGTTCCTATTTCTTTGACCGGGCTGGGCACTGTGAGGATGAGACCTGTTCCTGGGAGCACAGCCGGGGAGAGAGCACCAGCATGTCGGGCAGCCTAGGCTCTGGCAGCTGGTACAGTGCCATCGGGCGTGAGCCAGGCTGGTGCGGGGGCAGCCAGACGAGGACCACTCCTCTGCTCTTCTCCCAGGTGCCGGGACCGGGTGGCCACCACCACAGCCTCTACTCTACCCCACAGACGTGACCCCCTCTCCACTGCTTCCCCCCAACACCCAGACCCAAGTCCCCTTTACCCTGGCCCTTGTGCCAACTTTATCTGCCGCTTCTTCTTGATCAGGGTCCTGGGGGCAGTGGCTGCCCCCTCCTCTAGCCGGCCCCTTGCTGCTCCTGTTGTAGTGAGCTTGTGCCACCTTCCTAAGATGGGGGGCATGGTCCTGGCTGCCAGATGCCCATAGCGCCCTGGCATGACCTACCACCTCCGCTTCCACACCGGAGCCAGCTACCTCTCCTGTGCCTGCCACTCAATAAACAGTGTCTGTGCCCTGAAAAAAAAAAAAAAAAAATACCAGACATTCCACAATCTTGGTTAAAAAGTGACTGTAAATTCTTTACCAATTACAGGATCACCTTTTGATTATCTCCCTCTAGCTTGCCTGCAGTCTGAGGTAGTCACAGAGCTGCCTGTTTTCTGACAGCATCCCATCTAGAATCCACCTGTTTCCCTACAGTGACGGCAAACCTTTCAGAGCTTCCCGTGATAACACAGCCCACCGCCGCACACGTGCTGTAGGTCACCCCACTGTCTTGGGTCCTTTGCAGATCACCCAGCAAAAGCTCAAATGTTGTAACTGATCCTAAAATCTTCTTGATATAGGAGAAAGAAGCTGCCACCCTGCCAGATGTCTAGTATGGGTTCATGTTCGCTAAAACCAAAGAATGAATTTTAGGAACAACGGAGGTTAAGAGCAGAATATTTCCTGGGGGAAAGAAAGCTTCTATCTGAGAGAGGGACAGAAGGGGAGCTGAGGGTGTTGCCCAGGAATCTGTCTATTCTAGAGATTTTTATAGAGCAAAGCCATGAGGTGAGGCAGGTCTAAGGTGGGAAACACGAGAACTCACTAGGTGGGTATGAGGTGGGGCAGAACTACAGTCAGCCCAAGACTGAAAGCACAATTGCTTGGGGAAATGGATTAAATCAGCATCAAGTGGGGAAGTGAGTCCCGCAAGCAGGCATGAAAACAAAACAGGGGCTTTTCCTGTAGGGGCTTGGGTTAGTGACTCTCCCTGGCTTCCTTGGGGTGATAGAGACCCCTCTAGAACATCAGTTCCTGATGTCCATCCCTAGGGAGGTAGGTGAGTGTATTTGCTTCAACTTTTGTCTTGAAAGTTGAAGCCCACAGCAAAGGTGCCCATCTCGCCCACGGTTGCAAGGCATCTCACCTTCCGCCCAGCTCTGGAGGCGTGGCCCTGCCTGACTACCCATAATATTTCTAGCTTTCTCAGTTGCCTACGTTGTTGTCATTGCGCTACCCATGGCTCCTCGTGTTGCAATTTTCCCTCCCTACACAAGTAAGGAGCCCAACCTGTTCAAGCCCAGGCATGTCATGCTGGAGGATATCCCTGGCTGGAAGATACCGCCGACTTTAGAGATTAGAAAGCTCATCCCCTCATACATAGGACTCGTCATCTCTGCTGTAATTTCCCATACCTAATTGTTAAGTTTTATTTCTTGATTAGATACATAGCATCAGTCCATTTCAACAATTTTTTCCCCAAAGAATGGACAGTAAGATGTGTTCTTATCATCAAGTAACTTAAATTATGCTTAAAGTTTATAAGAATAAATTTCTAGTGTTAAAGTAGTCCAGATTTTCAAAGTGGTCTGTATCATCCCTATTTGGATGATTGAAGTCTTCTGTGTGGTGAACCTGGAATCAATTTATAAGCTCTTATAGCCTGTGGAAGGGATAGGTATTTTCTGCAGGATTAAAAACCTTGAAGTTTTTGTCACAGCTGTTGCAGGATCACAAAGCACCTCACAGCTCAATGGCACACACAGTAAGCCACCAACTCTGTCCATCGGCCTGCCGGTTGGTCATGGCTGCTTCATCCTCTCCAGCTGGGCACTCGGTGTTTGTGCGGTCAGGTGCCGGCCCCGCAGGCAGCTGTGCTGAGGTGGAGGGGTGCCAGTGGCTGGCAGGCAGGGGTCCACCGCTCTCCTCCCCAAGGCCTCTTGCCTGCTTGCAGGTTAGCCAGGACTTACTTACAAAGCAGCAGCAGAGATCAGAGAAAGCAGCTAGCGAAGCCGTGAAGGCTTTGGCTGCAAACTGGCAAAGGCCTCTTCCACCACACGGTTCGGTAAAGAGACCACAAAACCAGCAGAATCCAGATTCCATCTCTATAAGAGGAGCTGAAAAGTCAAATGTTGCAAGGAGCATGGACGTGGGGGGACATGAAGAACTGTGGCCAGACAGACAGATGGATCATTAAACTCGGTTTCTTACCTCGGGGCCCGACACCCAAAGTGGGAACTCAGAGGATCTTCAGTGTTCAGCATGCCTTCAAGTTGGTTCCAGATTATACTATATCTTTGACTTACAATTTCTTTAAAAGACATTGTATGATATCTTCTCCTAGTATTAGAAACTTTAAAAAGTAAAAAAAAAAAAAAAAAGTTGGTTCCAGAGCACGCTCCTCCATGTGCACACTCAACAGCACCTTGCGGCTCACTGACACCACTTCCCTCCATCCTCCTTTGCTTGATGGTACTACAGCCATCCCTTCTTTCCCAAGTACACTTTTTATGAATCTCTTTGTGCCATAAGTGAAAACAATGACTCATAAAAATCTCTAATGCAAACACATTAAATAAACATTATTTTAGTGCACAAGTACAACTCACCTATGAATATGTTCTCTTTCAATGTACTTATAGCAGTTCGGCAGATGTACTCTAAGTTAGGTATTGAGAGAATTCACAGTAGGCTAGTTTAAAGAGAAAGCCCCTCTCTCAAGCAGAAATCGGAGCCTGAACAACTACAGCAGGGACAGAGATTTACAAAGAGGTGCCCAGCAGGCTGGGGATGTAGCTCAGTGGTCTAAGCACCTGCCTGGCAAGTGCAAGGACCCAGGTTCAATCCCCGGTACCACATGCCATGCAAGCCCCAGAACCCCAGAAGCGCTATGCTGGCCACCAAAACTGGGTATGGTGGTGCACACCTGTAATCCCAGGGAGGCCGACAGGAGGATCACTATGAGTCCGAGCTGCATAGTGAGACCTTGTACCAAATAAATAAATAGATAAAATATTTTTTAAAAAGAGGTGCTCAGGTTAGAGAAATGGTAATGTTGTCTGTAACCCAGAATTCAGGAGGCTGAGGCAGGAGGATTGTTGCAAGTCTGAGGTCAGCTTGGGCTACACAGACCCTTTCACAAAAACAAACAAACAGGGGGCTGGGGAGATGGCTCAATAGAATGAGTGCTTGCCTGGCAAGCACAGGGGCCTGAGTTCAATCCCCAGTTCTGGAAAAAAAAAAAAAAAGCCCACAAGTGTGAGCCTGTCTTAAACAATTAAATACGCTATTATAACTTGCGTTAAGATAAAATGCATGGGGAAAATTTGAATACTCTTCATCACTTACAAACCCATCTGTTTCACGCTGCAGTGTCTGTGGGACATTTCACGGCTCTCCCAGCTGCTCATGTGCGAGTCAATGCCGTAGACAGCACACGTCCCGCGCTGCACCCACATCACAGACCCGGGGAGGCATGGGGTAACCCTACTGTTCACACCACACAAATAACTCAAGCCAATACGACTCTTTACTGACCCACATATTTGTTTGGACTTTTTTCTTTTATTGTGTATTTTAAGGAAATACCTTTTTTCAAAAACAGCAGTTTCTCAAGGCCCCTGCTGTCTATCCCCAGCCCTGGCCTGTCTAGCGTGCAGCACACAGCACAGGGAGCCTGCGGGGCTGGGCTGCAGTCTTTCCCACTTCACAGTGAGCTCCACGGGCACGGCTGTACGCAGTCACCACCTGCACTCTCAGATTAGGCATCTATAATGGCTGTCCAGTGAATTATGTTGTTAAAAAAGCTGAACATTTAAAAAAAAATCTATCACATGTTCGAGGTCAGGGTAACAGTTCCCTCTGGGGAGCAGAAAGAAAGGGCAAGTGGTCCTGAACGGACCCTCAGTGTTGCTACAAATGTCATTTCCTGATGTGACTGGGTCGCCCAGGCACGTTCACCAGGTAACCATTTACGGAGCCAGACGCTTACCACCGGTGTGCTTTCTGAGTAAGACCCATTCCAGCAACAATGCTCCAGCCCATTAAAGTTCTTTGAAAAACAAAAAAGGAAATCACAAGTATTCAGAGGCTGCCATTACAAAATAATATTAATTTCTGCAATGTAAAGCTAAGCTTCCAGTGGAGTCCACATGCTCTTTCTGCCAGGAAGCATGCTTCGGCTATGAAAACTCGGCAGATGCTATGGAGGCGAACGTCGGAGGCTGCATCTTGTCCCTGTCCCTCTGCTCTTTGGCCCTTTCCCACCGTCTCTGCTCGCAGGGGCCAGCACATGAGTGGCCTTCCAGCCCTTCCGCCATGGCACTTCTGCCTCACCACAGGCCTGAAAGCACTGGGGCCAGGTGACCACAGACTGAAAGCCATTAGCCACAAGTAAGCCTTTCTTCCTTCAGGTTGTGTTGTCACAGGCACTGTCTCAGCAACTGCAAGCTAACACACATCAGACATTCTCTGTACCACAGTCACGAGGGAAAGGTTCACCCACTAGGCCTGCGTACGGAGAGTGCTTAAAACAGTATCAAGCACACAGTAAGTACAACATGCTAAGCGCAACTACACTTCACACACAACACATGCAGTTCTAAGTGAAAGCCTGACCTAAGATCACAGGCAAATTTTCTCCATCAGAATGCAGGGTCTGGAGAACTGGTGACATAGCACAGTGGTAAAATGTGTGCTTAGTGTGCAGGGCCCAGAACAAAAAGGAAAAAAAACCCAAGGTCAGTTTTCTCCTTGCCCTTTTCAAAATAGCCCCCATGGCCTGATTGAAGTATCTTCATTTACATAATTTATTGCTCAGCATTCATGTCACCACCTGCACTGTTTTAGTCACAGCTGAGGAAGTCAAAACTTAAGAAACATGGAGCTTTGGGCTGGGGAGATAGCTCAGAGGTCTGCCTGGCAAGAGCAAGGACTGGTATCCAGTACCACATGCCGTGCTGGCCCCAAAGCCTGGGGGTAGCACACGCCTGTAATCACAGTGCTGGGGAGACTCAGACAGGAGGATCACGATGAGTTCGAGCTGCATAGCAAGAACCTGCACCAAGTAAATTAATTGAAAGATTTTTTAAAAAGCATGAAGCCACCTTGTGGCCCAGGATGTGAGAAATGGAAGGATATTAGTCTGGGCACAGGGCTAGGAATTTGCACTTTCTAATGAATGCCTCAGGTAACTCAAGGAGGCTATCCTCAGAGCAGAGCCTTGTTTTATAGATGAAAGGGGCCAGTAGAATAAGCACTTTCCTGGCAAGCACAAGGGTTTGAGTTCAATCCCCGGTTCCACCAAAAAAATTAAAAATTAAAAAGTACATGAAAGGAGGACAGCAAGGAAAAGCAGCTGCCTGGGCTCTTCTCTGGGTGATGGCCAGCCTTTTAGAGACCAAGTGCCCACACTGCGGCCCCAAACCCCCTTACTTATCGCAAAGTGCCAGCGCCACAATTAAGCATGAACACTGAGGTTGCAGTTAAGAAAAACAACCATTACTAAGTGCCTGCTTGGCAAGCACTGGGACCGGGTTCGATCCCCAGCACTGTGTGCTGTGCCGGCCCCGCCCCCGGTACCCCTGGTGCTGGAGAGGCTGAAAACAGGAGGATCATTATGGAGTCCAAGCTGCGTTGTGAGACTCTGTACGAAACACATAAATTAAAAGAGAGAGAGAGAGAGAGAGAGAGAGAGAGAGAGAGAGAGAAGCACTTATCTGGCGCTCGGCTGCTTGTGTGCCTCTGCAGCACGTGTACCACCGGTTCTACCACTGGTCCCTCTTCCCAGTGAGCTCAGCACCTGAAGGTGCTGCTGGGAGGCACGGGAAGGGGCGGGGGGGGGTAACCCGCAGGAGCATCGCCCTCCCCAGCTGTGATCCGGCGGCCAGGAGGGAGCAGCCCTCTTCTACCCAGTCCTTTCAGTCTGGCGGCCAGCTGCGCAGGGACAGAGGGCACAAGGAAAGGGGCTGAAGGGAGGAACAAAAGCACCCAGGAAATGGGCTGAAGGGAGGTACAAAAGCACCACTGTTCAGGACTAATAATTCAAAACCAGGTACTTTGGGAAGCGAATTTAAATCAGATCACCAATATTTACACACTATGTGACTAATAGTTACACGACTTTCGCATGTTTAAGGCTCAGGCTGCCTTAAGGGCAGGTCTGGTAATGCGGGTGGATGTGGGGATCAAAGCAAGGCGCCTGACTGTATTTGCATGAGCAGGCACAGAGAAGTCTTCTTGTTTTTTTTTTGGTGGTGCCAGGATTGAATGCAGTACCTTGTGCTTGCCAGGCAAGCTCTTATTCTACTGAGCTATCTCCCCGGCCCTAAAAGCCATCTTAAAACATGCCACCAATTCCTCTGACTAAAGGAGCGTTCCCAAAGTAGCAAACTCCGAAAATGCCTGCTTACTACCAAGTTCTGCGACCAGCCCCTGGCAACACCTAGTGAATCTGAAGCACTGCGGAGGGACCCAGAAATGGCACTGACAGCACGCCCCAGGTCTGCCCGGCCGGAAGCGTGAGGCCCCGGGAGGCAGGGCTGCGGGCGGGCGGGCGGGCGAAGGGGACGCGTCAAGGATTTCCCAGATTTTCCCGTCCTAAGAGGAGAGCGAGCGCCACCTACTGCCTCATGCTAGAATGCAGGGTAGAGGTACTGTAACTGAATTCACCAGGAATCATGAATGAATCCTAAATTAGGTGTGCAAACAGCGAGAAATCATTGTGACGAAACATAAAAACAGAACTTATTTAACTGGCAGAAAACTTTCAAAGTTAAACTGCTTTTGGAGCTTTAAGTATCTAGTAACTGCTCTAATTTCAACGTACTGACACAACAGTAAAGGAAAATACAAGCCTTTCTCCACTGGCCTGGCTGGGCCCACAGTGGAAGGAGAAACAGAATCCCTGAATTCCAGAAACCACTGCAGTGAAGCAACACACGGCCCCTCCCTCCCGGGCAGCCCTGTTCCAAGAGAAAACCCAGCGCAATGAGGACAGACTCGCCTCTCCTTAGCACTCTACTTCAAATCTAGACACCTGACTCCATTGGCAGGGCGGTCACCATTCCCTTCAGAAGGCGCTGCAAAAGCCTCGTGAGTTAGTCTCTTACTATGCTTGACGCTCATTCCCCTTCCACGGCTTTCAAAAGAGATGGGCAAAGCCTTATAAATATGCATATGAAATGTGTAGCTGTACATCACATTTCAATAATTCAATGACAAATCATAAAAAGTATTTGTATTAAATCTTTTTTTATTTTTAAAAATAAAGGGCAGCGCACACACCCTGGAGAGGCCGAGGCCCTTACAGAGTGTGGATGATGGTCCGACTGCGCAGCTGCTGCACGTACTCCTTCGCGTGCTCCATGGCCGTCTTCCGAGGCTCCGGGGCAGGCGGGGGGCCTTCCACCAGCTTCACAAAATAATGGCAATAAACCTTCTCCATGATCCCAAAGCGACCTCTGCCGTGGTAGCGGATGCCTTTCAGGCACTGGCCACGCCCTGTCTTGGACTCAGCTAGAGGGAAGAAAAAGAGGAACAGCTGTTACCCATGACTAGTCTCATCAGCGGGGGCAGTCTCCGTCCTTTCCCCAACAGGATCTGAAGACTGCACAAGCTCACTGTGCACAAAGCAGGCTCATCTCAAAACAAGCACCATCTGAGCCCTGAGGACCAGGTGCCATGTTAGGAGAACAAGGCGGGACCAAGACTGGCAAGGCTCTACTCCCTGCGGTTTACATTCTGGAGGGGAAAGAGAAAACACAGTAATTTCGGTGAGCTGCAAGTGCTCGGAATAAAGTGAATCAGAGAGATGGGATGGAAATTGACAGGGTGGTAGGAGCAACTTCATACTGGGGATGTCGAGTAGCTTGCTGGGGAAAGGACTTTTGATCTAAGACCAGAGCATGTAGGGACAGCATGCAGGCAGTGGGAACAGCAGGACACCACAGGAAGGGAAGACAGTACAAACAGGAGGCAGAGGTCAGGAATGAGGGTGGGGAATAGAGCGTGGGGCCCTGCAGGTTCCAGGAAAGAGTTCGGACTCCATTCTCATCATGAGAACTAGCTGCTGGGGTGCTGGGTTCCCAAACACTGCTCTCAGCACTTAAAACCCAACTCCGAGACCCCCTGTCTGTGAGGATTCCAACTCAGTGCACTTGAGGTGGGCCTCGGAAACAACCCGAGCGAGCAGACCCAAGGAGACCAACGCACAGCCAGTGCTAGGAACGCACCACCACGACCGTGCCAGCAGCTCCCCGCCCCACTGTGCACATCCGAGTCTGACCTTGAAAACATGAAGAAACCTTTTTAAAAGTACTTGAGAAATCTGGCCACCTCTTCACCCACAGTACATCAAAAGAGCAGTTGCCTACTATTTTCTGAATGTATATAGTCAGTTACTCTTTGAATTAATAATTTTTTTTAAAAGGTACAATGTGCCAGGCCTTGTGTCTATAATCCTAGCACTCAGGAGGCTGAGCCAGGAGGACTGCTGCAAGTTGGAGGCCAGCCTGGGCTACATACTGAGGTTAGAGCCAGTCTGAATTGCACAGCAAGATCCTGTCTCCAAACAAGCAATAAAAACAGTAAAATAATGCACTGCATCAATCCATTTCTGTATTCATCATCCTTGCATTCACACGGTAATATAACTACAAGCACGGAGGTTCTTTAACTGCGATGCCTGCCCATGAAGTGGGCTTCTGCAGAAGCAGCCTCCTGGCCTCCCAAGAGAAGGCTCAGAGTGAAAGCGCTGGCAAAGGGCTGGGCTCCCGGGAGGACAGCGGAGTGCCAGCGCCCTGTGTCAGCGTCACCTCCCCAGCACTCTGGAGAGAAGCCTAGGAAGTTCCAAAGAGAGAGCAGCACTGTGCAAGCCCCACGATCAGGAAGCACAGCGAGGTGCCCTGGATCAGTGTGCGCAAAGAAACCCCCAAGAATGGCAGACAGAGAAGAGTAGGAAACTGCTAAAGAAGCTTTCCACAAGCACAATGGCTGCTTCTATCCAAAACCGCTATTCCACTCAACCTGACTGCCCACCTGGAAATAATGATACAGGACTATTGCTCTAGTGAACGATGTATCTGTATTACTCTTCATTGTGGTCCCAGATCACATGCTATTTTTTATAAGTATTGACTGCTTCAGCACTGGCCCCAAGGGCAGCACAGCGAGCCAGCCACAGACTCAGACCTCCCAAACTGTGAGCCAAAATGAAGCTCTTCACAGGTTTAGTTACCAGAGGTACCCGTCCCAGAGCTGGGAAGCTGACTGACCCAGCACTCCAAGGAAGGAGCGGAGTACAGCCTTCACACCAGCCGCTGCTCTGCCGTCTGCAGTCTCCTCCTCTAATCCTGTATGTGAAGGGCTGCAGGCTGCTTTCGGACATGAAAGCACTTCCATTAACGGGACGCAACACGCTGAGGCCCGACCCACAGAGCACTGCTGCGTGACTCTCTTCCCTGTGATGCAGGCAAGGAACAGCTCCTCAGGTGCCACCCTCACTCAAGATGTCTCGGAGTTCCTGCCAGGCACCAAGTGCTCGCCCAGCTCCGGGGTACAGTAAGGACTAGGACCCCACAGGAGGCCTGGAGCACAGTGCTAAAGCTGCTGCTTCCTTGCTAACACCAATCTCTTGCCCAAACTTCCTGGTCCCTCCTTCTTAACACAGCTTGAACCAAAGGGGAAAGCTTGTCAGCAGCTGAGCTTGGCCTGGTCCTCCGGTTTTATTTGCTCCCTGTAGCTCACTCCATGTGGCCCAACCCCTGCTCAGCCTCTGGGTCTATGCCTTCCCAGTCTGCAAAGCTGTCCTCCTGGACATCGCTCCAGATTCCCAAAAGCCTGTGCTCAATAAAAAAGTCTTGTAGAAAATCTCCATAACTATTCTGACCCACACTGATCTTTTCTACTTCAACAGTACCATGTATCTGTATTACTCTTCACTGTGGTCCCAGATCACATGCTATTTTTTATAAGTATTGACATTTCACCTGGAAAAGTCACTCTCTCAACCAAACTTAAAAAACTATTTTAGGGCCGGGGAGATGGCTCAGTGGAATAAGTGCTTCCCTGGCAAGTCCAAGGGCCTGAGTTCAATCCCCCGTTCTGCCAAAAATAAGGAAAAAAACCTATCTTCGCATTGCCCTGTAAGTTCATGATCCACAAAGAACAGAAATAATCTTTAAATGTATCCTCTGCTAACTGGTATTATTTTTTAATAGAGGAACTGGCAGAAATTTATTCAAATTCTGACACAAGCATCAAAATTTTCCAACTAGACATAGTACTAGTGATGTGCATGGCTTTGCGCCAACTTGGAACCTTCTAAAGGAATACTACTTACTGCCAAAGAGCAAAACTACGTGTGCTAGATGTTTTAAAGTGATATAAAAGATACGCCAACACCTAGTAGCAGTTGTACACAGACTGAAGGTAATTACTTTCTGAATGAAAGAAAATACTAAAATATCACAAAAATGGAAATGATCTACTCTCTAAAGATAATTCCCAAAAAGTAGCATGTATTTAAAATACTGCCAACGCTGTCTATTGCCACTATGTAGATAAATGTGAATCTCGACGATGGAACACCAGAGGGTCTCTGGTCTACCTCACACTTGCCGCGCAGAGGACTGATGTAGCATGCTGGCAACTGCTTTCCCTAAAGTGAATCATTTTGGATGCCATGAATCCCTGGGCAGCAACACTGTCCACTATCTAAGGCCTGTTCAGTGTCACTAATTATCATTGTACGTTTAAAAGGAAAACAGACTTGCTAAATCTGCAGTCATCTAACACCAGGTATTATACTGATGACAGACAGAGGAGGTAATTACCAACTATGAGAACATTCGGTGCCCAAAAAGCACTTCCTTTAAATGCCTGCATTCATTTCAGGGCACTGGAAGAGCCACTGCTAAGCCCAAGAAGCATCCTGCATGTGGCCAGTCCTCCACCTCCCCAGTAGGAGTCCACACAGTGGCACAGTGAGGCCCTTCAAGTAATGACACAAGGTAAAGCAGTGTCTTGCCTTTTGTGAGAGCCACTATGGGCCTACCCACAAAAAGGTTCCAGGTCTGGCCCCTCAGGTTTCAAAGCCAAACAGTCTCTGCAAGACCAGGAAATCTGTTTTGATAAGAACTTCATATGACTCTTAAAGCAGTTTGCCAAATACAGACATAAACGTCCAGCGTGCCATGGTGAGAGATGTCCTCTGCCTCAAGGTATTCACCTCTTGCTTATGGGATTGGGCATTAAGATAAATGAAAAGCTCTTGGCTTTGTTGTTGCTGTTGCAGTCCTGGGACTGCGCTCAGGTCCTGTGCACTGAACTATGTACGCAATCCTTTTTTAAAACAGGTTTTAATTTTTAAAAAAAGCTCTCCCCAAGTCACATCACCCCAGCTGGGCACGCACTTGGTCCCGTCCCTCACCTCGCAGGGTGCTGGGATCACAGCACATGCAGCACTCCCAACTTGTCACAGGCCCGACCCAGACTTACAGCTCTACATGGGAAGTGCTGATATTTACACAGAACTAGATGAAAAGGGCTCAGTTAGGGCAGAGATTTTTCAGCAGGAAAATGAATAGAGAGCGCTCTGAATTAAAGGCTAATTTACGGAGCAGTGTTTAACTATATAGCTTCACTTAATGGCAACACGGGACTTTGTGCCTCCATTTGAGACAATCAAATTAAGTTCCTCATCCTGTCTCTCTTTAGTCACTGAAAAGGATTAAAGGTGGTTTCTGAAAATGATTTAAAGACAAACCTAGCATCACTGGTGTCTGAATCCCAACACAAAGTCTCTCAGCTAAGAATCCCATATTCCTATGCAACTGAATAAAACTAATTAAATTAGATTTGATAGTAGGAGTCACAGAAGAGGGAAGGTCACCCGGAGGCTTTCACTAAATGCTCTTGCTCCTTATTCGCTCTTGCTCCTTATTCATTTCATCCCTCCCAAGGATCTCCTCAGAATTACTTATGCAGGGGCTGGGGAGATGGCTCAGTGGAATAAGCACTTCCCTGGCAAGCACAAGGGCCTGAGTTCAATCCCTGGTTCTGCCAAAAAAAAAAAAAAAAAAAATTACTTATCCACGCTACTCCCAGAAGGGGAAATGTTCGTGCTGAGCCGCTGTGGCCCTCCCTCTTCTGAGCTGCCAATCTGATTTCCCTCTGCGTTTGTGCATGTATCAGAACAAAATGCATATTCAGCTTTAAAGATACGATACTTCAACTGAAAATCATAACTCATTTGCATTTCAGAAGCCAGTGTCTCCTTGTACCAATTCCACGAGTGGAGGTGAGATTTTAACTTAACCAGAATTAACACCACCAAAAGGGAAGAACTTATGAGACAAAGTACAATTCAGATTACTTCTTTATACTGATTGTTGAAAAATTACAAAATACAATTAATTCCGCCTGCAATGTCTCAGCCTTTCCCCCTCATGTGGAAAAACAGTGCTTCCCAAACCTGAAATTTAAAATAGTTTTAGGTAAAACAGTCCTTAGATATGCAGGTTTTGAGAGACTAGAGAAAAATGTTGCTCAACATCAACATGTCTGTGTGAAAACAATACCCCAGCTACTGCTCCACTCCACTGCGGTGTCCAAGAGGGAGGGAGGAGGGAGAGAGCTGTGTAATAAATGTCTCTCTCCTCCTAAGGAGAGCTGTCAAAAGGCACACTGGCCGACTCCCAGGAGTGTGGACAGCACGTCCCGCTCCCCACAGCATTTCACCAACATTAACTCACTGTGATATGGAACAAGCACGCAACAGCAGAGCTAGGGCTTCACATGCAGTAAGAAGCAGGAAGACACATGCAGACCATCACAGCCTTCCGAGGCCACTGGCTGTCTTTTTTCTCTTTTGGGGCCACTGGCTGTTCTCTGCCTCTGTTTGTCTCTCTGCCTCTGTCTGTCTGTCTGTCTGTCTGTCTCCTTCTCCCCCCACTCCCCTCACACTCCCCCTGTCTCCCTCCCTCTATCTTTTTGAGACAGGCATGTGCTATACAGTTCAGGCCGGTGTCAAACTCACAGATCCTCCTGCCTCAGCCTCCCCAGAGCTGGGATTACAGGTGTGCACCACCACGCCCAGATGCGCCACTGGCTTTTACAATTCAATGGCTATTCCATTCTCATAACTGGAAGATGATGTCACAGGCCACCTGTGTGGATTAGACATCCGGCTTGGCATATTACAAACAAAGATATTTAAGTTCACATGTAATCCTTCATTTCCTTCCAGTATGCATTTACTTCTTCCAAGTCAGTTATGTTCTTTTGTAGTACTGTTAGGATTAAAGGCCCAGTGTACATACCAGCTGTAGAATCCATTATTTAATAATTATTTGCAAGGATTTCATAAC